CTCAGGGTAAAAAAAGCTATAAGTATATTTTTTACTGCCTTTGCCGCGGAGCAGCTGGCCTTAAATATACCGCAGCCATCAGAGGAAGTGTTTTTTTTTTTTTCAAAGCTACTTTTCACAAAGAGTTGAGACACAAAAGATAGGTTACTTTTTTCAAAAAAAAAATATCCCTTTTTTTGCTTTTAATTTAGTAATTCACTGGATCAGTAGTCACAAGATAATTTTTTATTCTCTGTAAGAACGCTCTTACCTTACTCATACTGTACCGGGAAAGTGTATTATAAATTGTAAAAAACTCTGATATAAAGAAAATGTTGAGTGAATTATTTAAAGTTTAAGCTTCAATTTTTTCCGGGTTTCAATTTGGATAGTAATTTTAAATTTATAAATTTACGCCATGTACTGAAGATACTTTTTTTTTATTTCTTAACTTCCCGGAATGTCCCAAAAAAAAATCAGTTGAACTTTATCAATAATTAATTCAAAATATTCCTATAAAAACAATTTTTTTTATCGAGTATGTACGAATAAATAGTGCAGGGTCGCACCACGTGGGAATTTCTGGAGCTATTGGGATATCTACCTATACAATATGTATGTGTATATTATAATGTAACCCTCGCTGACTCGGGTCTCGGGTCTAGTGTACCTTCACTCCTACACGCTCGCAGGGTAGGTTACCCAGGAGACTCTTATACTGGGGATGTTGTCGGCGGTTTCTAGGCCAAGAACCTCATTTCGCGATTAATCGAATTCTATCCGGTTATCGCATACATAACAACCATGTCGTTTATCGTTCTCATCCTCCTTGTTGTCGTAATCATTTTTATATTATTATTATTATTTTTTTTTTATTATCCACTTTTGATTGAACGTATTTAGTTGTACACGGAGAGAAAAATATGGAAATCATTCCTATAATTTTAATGAAATATTTTCCTATACCATTTTAGGAGCGATTACTTAAATTATGGGAATTATACCCATAATTTTTGGGAAACGTTACTATAATTATGGGAATGGTTCCTATAATTATAGGAACGATACCTATAATTATAACTGTAATATCGGCATGATTCCCATAATATATTGAAGCTATTCCATTATTGTATAGGAACGTTTCCAATAAATTATGGGTATGGTTCCCATAATGAGTATAGGATTAATGCCTATAATGATAATTTTATTATAGGATCCATTCCCATAATTGTTGGAAAGATTCCTATAAATTTCTCTTCGTGTAGAAGTTCTTACTGTGATTGAAAAACAAAATAATAATGCAGTAACAGGTTCATTTAATTTATTGATAACTATTTTTAATATTACAATTATGTATTAAAGTTTTGTAAAGATGTATCTACAATAATTATCATTCAGCACATTGCATTGAAAGAAGAAATTTGTTCATTAGTGATGAGCTTGAGCTCTGTTTCACAAATTATAAACTGTACTATTAATTCTCTGTACAAATTGATCGATCATATTTATAGAGCTTTGTATGCGCCTTAGTTTAGCGTTTTGGTTCTGGACTTCACTTGTAAGATCGCCAACTCTCGTTAGCAGATTTCTCAATTGTTGCGCTTCGGGAGATTCTTGAGCGGGATCCTGAGTGCTGGCAGTTTGACTACTTTTAATCGATTGCTGGGTTGAGTGTGGCAACTGAGATGGATAGTCTGTGTTTGCTTGATAGGTTACCGCTCCATGAACGT